GGCTCTTTGAACCATCACTGTGCCGAATACAGCATTCAGTTACTATGTTTTTTCACTAAGTTAGTAATGTTGAAATACACATGCATGCAACTATAAACTAAGTGTTATAAACACAACTCTGCGAAAAAGCACCGTGGGGAACCCATCATTCAACTAACAACATGTTTCACTCTGTTAGTGTGTTTGAAAACAGACGTGGAGAATGAGGGAAGTGCACTATGTTCAACTTTGTGAAACAACACCGTGAGGGATGCAGCAGTCAATGACAATCTGGTTTTAGTAGGTTAGTGAGCTTTGAAAACACATGCATTGAAATATAAGGTGAGTGTTATTCTCAACTCTGGGAAAAAGCACAGTCGGGAATGAATCATTCAACTAACGTCATGTTTCACTATGTTAGTAGTGTTAGAAAATAGATGCAGAGACCATGAGGGAAATGAAGTATGCTCAACACTGAGAATCAACAATGTGCAGAATGTAGCATTCAATTACCGTGTGGTTTCCCTCCGGCCAGGGGTCAAAGAAAGTGTATTCTGTTTAATCACCTCCCAGGTCCTCCCTGGTCTCAACTCTAAAGGCAGGAAGGCCCTGGGAGAGGCAGCTGACTGCCCCCTCCTGGCTAAGCCGAGGACGCTGAGCAAATCAGAGGTTCTGAGGGGCAGAGCGGGCAAGTGGGCCTGTCCCATGCTGCTCCCTTCAGTGGGGATGCGCCGCCAAGTGCCCTGCTTGTCAACATCCTCTTCCTTTCTCAAAGCTCTGCTGAAACACGACCTCTTTTACGAAGAACCTGTAACCTGCCCGGTCAGAACCCCCCTCTCCCTTTCCTTGGTTCCCACACATGGGTGTACATCCGGCATAGCACAAGCTGTCCTGGGTGATGGTTAGCTCCCCTAAGCTGGCACACAGCCCCCCTTCCCCACACAACAGGCGGCGCCTCAAGGCTAGGAATGCGATCTCCCCACCACCCCCCTGCGGCCTGATTCTAGATGGCACTTCACCCTCAGAACTTGGATGCCAAAAAAAGACAAGACAGAAGGGAAGCCAGGCCTGGCTAAGACCTAACTGAGAGGCAACAGCAAGAGCCCAAACACAGACAGCTGTGGGCTGGAGGAACTGGTCCGCCCTCCTCCCCTGAGCTGAAAGATTGGGATGACCCCCTGGACAGCTGCAAAGGTTTGTGCTTCAGAAAATACCTCCTTTTCTGCCTGGGATGCACTTGTGGCCTCTACTTCCAGTCTGAAGCCCCTCTGGCCACTAATTCCTGTATCCACCAACATCCCCCTTCAGAGATTCCTGGCAAGAAGGTGATGCAGGGCTGTAGAGTTCGTTCTGTTTAGCCGTCGGAAACTACCTCCTCTGCCCCAGGCCCCCAGAAGGAGCAGGGTGAGCAGGAAGGTGGGCTCTGACGCTGTGGTTCATCCTTGAATGGTTCCCCACTTCTGGCACTGATACACCCTTGGACTAAAGCCTGTGCGTTTCTAAGAAAGGCTAAGGTGGGGTGGATAGGGATGGGAGAGGGTTATTTAGGCCCTGACTTGCCGCCTGGGGTGCCTCCTGAGTATCTCCCCCTGTGCCGGGCACCGTGCTGGGGAGCTTACACACTCACCTAATCTGCGCAGCAGCCCTGCAAGATACCCACTGTTAGCCCCATTTTAGACGTAAAGAGATGGAGGCTGGGAGAGGCTAGATTACTTGACAGCTTTATACAATTGGAAGATGACCGAAGAGGATTCAATGTCGGCTCTAGCTGGCCCGAAAACTTTCACTGTTATGTAATTGAGGTATTTCCCCCCCTCCTTATTTTAGATCCTGGTGTCATCTGCCCTTCTTTTCATGCATCACCAGCTCCAGGCTGGAGGTTAGATCTGGCTTGGGCACCCCGTTCTAGCCCTTACTTGGCAAGATCACTTGGGGTAATCTGCTTCCTTATGTGTCAAATGAGATAGTAACCCCACGCTGCCTCCCTCCCAGGGGTGCTATGAGACTCAGGGGAGCGGCAGCGAACTGGCTGCGTCGAGCGCCCGGCACCGCACAGCTCTGGCTGGTGGCTCTCTGGCAGCCTGAGCCTGGCGCCACCCAAGCGAGGGAGCCTCTGCTTGCTCATGTCCGCACCTGCCCCAGAAGGGCTTCGTGTGGCTTTGCAGAGCCAGGCCCTATTTGAAATATAGGAAGTGAACAAGCCTTACGAGTGGGGAGTATGGCAGACACCCCCACCCCCACCCCCCGGCCATAGATAGCAGAGACACTACCCCAGCAGCTTGCAGCAGGCGGGGCCAGGCTGGCCCATTGCCTGCTCAGAAGCCTCTTGGCCCTAAGCAGAATGTGAAGCGCACCTTGTCAGAAGCATCCTGCAAAAAGCTCTCACGTAGCCTCCGGCCATCAAGGAGAGTGCCCTAGAGGTAGTGCTCCCCGGGAGCACCTGTGGATGCCATTTGTGCCCAGCAGAACTGGAGCCTCCTCCCTCCCCTCACCACCCCCAAGAAGGGGCAGCTGTCTGCTGAGAGACAAGCAGTGAGGCTCCAGGTGCCGGGGGACCCTGACCTGCTTATTCCCAGGGCTGTTGGGGTGAGGTGATGGTGAACAGCACCATTCAGGAGACTTCTGTCACAGATCCACTGTGACACTGGGTGAGTCACTTTCCCTCTTTGGGTCTGAATTATAGCATCTGTAAAATGGGAACCACCACCTCTGTTCTGCCTACTCAGCTGTCTCTTGTAAGGATCCAAATGAGACGTGCACCCAAGTAAGCTCGAGGCTGCCAGGGTGAAAGGTAATTGTGAGGTTCTAATTACCATTGAGATTATCTGGAAAGAAGGTGCTCTGCACTTTTCAATCATGGGGGTAAAATAAAAACTCAGGGAAGCCTGGAGGCCAGCCTAGCAGTGCTGTATTACTCCTTGAGACCCCAGGTGATGAAGATGTGGCTTGTCCAGTGCTCAGGTGGCTGCTGATCCTGACCGCTTCCCCTCCCCCCTGGTTCCTGGGCGTCCATGCACGCGTGTAACTCCAGGTGCCACGTCCATCTTTCTTTCATAAATCTGAGCATGAAAACAAAATCTCCCAAGATGTAGAAATGCGATCCTGAAAGGTAAGCTCTGTGATTCAAAAGGATGTGATTGCCTTTTTTTTTTTTTTTAATTTTTATTTCTGAGAGAGAGGGAGAGAGAGAGAGAGAGAGACAGCGTGAGCAGGGAAGGGTCAGAGAGAGAGAGATACAGAATCTGAAACAGGCTCCAGGCTCTGAGCTGTCACAGAGCTCGATGTGGGGCTCGAACCCACGAACCATGAGATCATGACCTGAGCCGAAGTCAGATGCTTAACCGACTGAGCCACCCAGGTGTCCCCAAAAGGATGTGATTGTTATGTGAACACATTGGCCATCGAAAGTCCGCCTCTGGTCTCTCAAGGGCTTCAGCCCTGCCTGCCCACCCCGTCACCCCCACAGGCCGTCTTGGGCCTTACCCTGCAGACAGGTGGCTGCACAGGGCATCCCTGATTTAAGACTGAGGGGGCCAAGGACCAAAAGGCGGGCTGAATTTCCTCCTCGTGAGACCCCCTATTCCTTGGCCCTGCCTGAGCCCTGAGGCCAGGCCCAGCTGCCCCACTGTTCTGCCTTCTCCCGGGGCCAAGTTCCACCTTTATGCCAGGCAGCTATTGAAGCAGGAATGCTGTTTATAAAAGGGTCTTGCGTTTTTGTGCCCTGATTGTCTGGGAGGTGGGGATCTCGAACCATCTGAGACCTCAGGCTTGGACGGAAGCACCCAAGTCCAGAGCAGAGGCCGCTGGGACTGCAAAAGAGACAGAGCGTCCTCTAGCGGCCGCCATAGGCCTTCCATGTAGAGGCGGAAGTGCTAGTTTGATTGACAGCCTGGAGCTCCAGACCCTGCCCTAGGCCGGCAGCCACCTGGAGGGGAGAATGTTGCCTGGTTTTGATCCAAAGATCCAGGCTCTGGACGACTGCAGGGATGGCAAGTTTCAAACCCAGACCCCAGAAGTGATAACACAGACTCTATCAGACACCTGACTTTTTAATTACAAGTAAGTCCATAGCAGGAAAGCAAGCCATCAGTAAAGGCCACCCTGAGTTTGTGCGTGTCTTGTGTGGGTGCATGTACACCATGAGACAGGCAGGGAACCTGGACCTGCCCCTGGTGCAATGTAGGGGTAGGTATCACAGCTCCTGCCAAGGATGTCCCAGCACCATTTGCACCTCAGACAAAACTAAGCAGCCTCAAACCAGAAGCAAACTAACAAGCACCTCTCCGCCAATAAGCACCTCTATACAAGTCCTAAGAGAGGGTGGAGAAATCACAAATGGAAATTTCCAGAATGTCCCCACCCCTTGGAATTTCTGGCTCTGGGTCACACACAAGGCACCATGGACGTGCAAAGGGGTGCACAGTGGGCACCTGGTATGTATGGCTCAGGCGAGGATACAGATTCTCAGGTAACTGGATTCAGAGCAGCCCTGGAACACAGAAGGTGATGCAATTCTACAGCAGTGGCAGGAGCGCACTCCCTGGGCCACCTACAGGCAATTAATGGGTTACTCGTGTATCTTCCTTGGGCCGCAGACTCCCGTAACCAAAGAAAAACATATCGGTCCTTTTTACTTATCAGGCTGGTTTAAGGATCAAATGAGATACATTTTTGAACTGACGTTTTGGCTTTAAAATGTAAAGAATTCATAATAATCTGTTTTTAACATAAACACATCATTCCAAACTCTTTGTATGAAATCACTCCAGAGAGATGGACGTACCATGTTTGCCCTGGGGTTTTGGGGCCCTGGACATACACCACACCCTGACTGTGAAGACCCAGACCACTCACAGGTGGGGTTGGGCTGTCCCCTCTGGTGGGTGCTAAACCTGGTGGTAGGCCCTCCCGAGGCTGTGTGCGGATAACGCACAAGTAGGTAATCAAGAGATGATGACATAAGATCCTCCCTCCCTCCCGCCCTCCTTCCCTCCCCTCGGGCTCCCCAACAAAGGCCGGTGGGAGACTCTTCAGTGTATGTAGATCCTGTCAGACACCGCTCCGGGCAAGTGGGTCATGATCTGCATTCGAAGCCACCAGTAGTAGTCCATGGGGTGGTAGCGAGTGTAGGGGGTGGCAGAGGTCAGAGCGTGGGTGACGGCATTGATGACAGGCGAGGTGTCTGTGGAGCCGCTGTTACAATAAGTCTCCATCTTGGCGACCTTCTCATCGAAGTACTTCCTGCCATAGTCCTTGCGCACCACCTCGGGCAGTTCGTCCCACATCTTGCTGGCAATGACCTGCATCCGCTCGGGGCTATAGAGGCTGGTGGCAGCAATGAAGTTGCCAGGCTCCACCACGCTGACCTTCACGCCCAGCGGGTACATCTCGTAGCGCAGGCAATCAGAGAAAGCCTCCACCCCGAACTTGGTGATGCAGTATGGGGAGCGGGATGGGTTGGCCATGCGGCCCAGCATGCTGCTGATGTTGACAACACGGCCTACAGAGGAAGACAGCAAACACCTGCTCAGGAGGCGCTGCCTGCTGGGGCGGAGGGCCTGGGGCCCGGCATGTTTCCAGAGGCCTGGCTGCAACCTGGCCTCCTGGCCCTGTTTGGATGCCTATCAGGCTGGGGCCTGGCCTTCTGAACCACCCAGGGTCAAGGGGTCTTCTCATTCATAGTAAGGCCAGCTCGGGCCCACCTGTCAGGACCAACCTCCCTGATATTTCCCAGGTAGCTGACTGCCGGGCAGGCCAGGGGAAGAGCAATGAGTGGGCTGCATACCAGGAAGGCATGCAGAACGGGCAAACTGCTCTCACCTGCCACGGCGCCAGCTGCAAGCAGGCAGGGCCAGGGTTCTGCACCTGATTTCAGCACTAGGGCATGTGGACAGCGTCTCCAGCACGGGAAGAGAGTGGCGACCTCAAGAGGCTTTCCCACAGGGCCCCCCTTGGGTGGTGGGATGAAGGTGGAGCCCATCCAAGTAAGCCCAGGCAGACCTGGGACCCGCCTGCCCTGCGTGCACACTCAGGAGGTTAAGGCACAGCTCCATTCTGGGCACTGTGGGGAGGGCAACTTTCAGATACCTACAAGCTGGAAGTCACTGGAGGGTTGGGGTCTTCTTCTAAAATCCTACAGCTGCTCTCTGGGTTCATCCTATCACTGCTGAAACTTGGGACAGACCATATGGATTGTCCCCTTTTTGTCATCATCATTTGCTATCTAGGGAGAAAATCTGAATCAGTGACTTCTTGGCCAACTAACATGGTTTGAGTGTTTTGCCCGTTTTCGAAATTTCTAATCCTGACTGTTATTATTACTATATTTTACTTACAACCACAATCGTCTTATTTTTTAACTGTGTCACAGTGACTCATAGAATGGGTACACCAAAATCTACTTAACCACACCTCTGTTGATAGTTGATGTGTACACACAGCTCTGTGCACAGGGTGGTTATTTCTCTAGATTAGGTCCCGAGAGTGGGACTATTGCTGTTAATCTTTTAATAACCTTCGAGACTGCTGACCTCTTAGCTGTCCTTCTTTCTGAAAATCACACATCCCTTTCTATCTGCCTGGTCACGGCACCTCCACGTACCACCACCCACAGATCTGCGCAGTCTGTGAGAGTCATGTGCTCACCCTCACCGGGGAATGGCTGCTGGAGCTGCGGAGACCAAGTTCCATTCTGAGCAGAGATGAAAAGGTGGGGCAAGGGGAAGATCCCTTTCCAACTCACCTTTGGCCCTTCGGATGAGGGGCAGAAAGGATTTTGTCATCCGCACCGTGCCCCAGAGGTTCACTTCTGCCACCTCCTTGTAGGTCTCCATGCTGGTGAACTCCACATCTCCGAAAGTCGAGATGCCCGCGTTGTTAACCAGGCCCCACATGCCTGGACAGGATGGAACAGAACTGCAGTCACCGCGCAGCCTTGGCCTCAGACCTCACCCATTGGCCTGCAGCCCATCCCCCTCCCTGCTTCTGTCCCTTTTCCCCAAACCTTGCCACTTCTTATCCAAGGCTCTGGGACACTTTCTAGAGTCACCAAGAACAAACAAAGAGGCCAAAAGTGCTGTGACTCTCCCTTAAGTCTGAAAGGTCCAGTCATCATCTCGCTTCTACCTCCATGGACCCCCTGGGCCCCCACCGTGACCCAGCCCTGACAGGTGGCCCCTGCCCCGAGTCCCACACGGGCTAACTCATTTCCACTCTGCTCCATGCTGTCCCGTCCCTGCACTCCGCACCCCGCACCGAGTGTTCATCCCTGCCTCTGCACCTTCACCTGCATCCCGCCGGAAGCCGGGAGAACCAGAGGAGTCTTCCAGGCCAAGCCTTCTCTGGAGGACCAGGGAGGGACCCAGCATCCAAGGTCATGTAGCAGTTAGAGGCTCAGCTAAGGCTTGACCTCAGATCGAGCCTCAGTCCTTCTCCACCCTGAGACCCTTCTGCCCATTACTCCAAGCTGGGAGCCGCACCGGCCTCGCTGGGTGACAGTCACAGCGAGGAAATGGCAGCGTTTGCACAGCTCCTGCCATGAGAAGCGAAAACTGGTATCTCCTTCTGCTACTACTGGCTCCTGTTGGAAATGAAGCTGCTGGTATTGGCCAGGCCTCACAATATTCCAGATCAGACCGATATTCCCCACACAGGTTGCTCATAAGGAAAAGCATATCCCTGCCTTTTCCAAAGAGATATCAGATGAAAGCATTGTGGATGGTTGTCAAAAAGCTCTTCCTATGGGCCTTGCAGATCCAGGACTTACATAATAAAGGGGGCTAAGAACACAAGAGTTACAATGGAGTCTGGCCCTGAGACAAAGAGCCTAATTTAGAGTTAAGGACAGATATCCACCCCCACCCAATTGTTTCTGCCTGGAGCATCCTGTGAGTGACTTATTCTGGCCTTGAATATGCTGATTGCTCCCTGTGAAGGAACTTATTGAACTTCTTCTTTTGTGATGAGAGCAACAGGTGAAAGACCTGTTTGACCCCTGCTCACAAAGAAGTAACTTCACCCTTTTTATGCTAAAAACATTGTCTGGTATGCTAAAGATACCTTCCTTCCCCATAGGATAAGCATCTAAATCCCCTATCTCAATCACTATTGATAAAGGTTATGCAGGAGTCTTCTACAAATCTATGTTCTGGGAAATTCTTACATATCAAAGAAGTTTGTCATCAGAAATCATTGTATAAGGCAAATGCCACTTCTGTGAGGTCCCCAAACACTTAATTATAAAATAAAGTTGAGCCCCAGTCAGAGCTGACATGCCTGCCTGGTGACCAGAAAGAATCTCGTGGCCTCTCTCACCCCTCCCTGGCCGACACCGTCCATCCTTCAGGGACCCCTGGACCCCGGCTGGAGCCGGTCTCTGACAACTCCATTCTCTGATCTCCCTTCTGTGAACCACGCACTATTTGCTGGTTTTCACTGGCAAAAGCCCCATTGTATACACCTGGTCTTTGCAGGTAGAGAACCCCCCTCAGCCTTGTGTGGTCCCAGGTGGAGTACAGAATTGGAGCAAACGTACACTCTGAGAATACTTGGGTTGACTGTTTCCTACAAGACCAGGTAGGGGACAGCTGGTTTCTCTAGAATCAGTGAACACTGGTGCTGGAAGGATCCTTGGACCTCTGACAACTACTTTTACAGCCAGAAAAGCAGAGGCCCTGAGGAGGAAGGACTGGCTTCAGGGTGCTCCGGGAAGCAGAGGCAGAGCTGAACTGGGGAAAGTGGCACCAAGGAGGCAGCTTTGACTTGCTTATGTTCTTGGAAATTTCCAGCTGCCTTGTGTTCGATTCACACGAGACAGTATCACACCCAAAATGCATACAGGGATGTTTTTTTTTTTTTTCCAACTAAAAATGAATTACATCTGACACTGACATCCAAAGAAGTGTAATTGAACTTGACCTGTGGAAGCACATTGCTCCTGGATTATAGCTCTGCTGGCTTGATAAGCTGTAACAGTTTGTGGACCTAGCAGCTCTCTGGAGTCCTCAGCCAACATTCCAGACATGCTCAGAGTGAACATTCCTGCTGTTTCCCTGAGACAGCCCTGTCACATCACCGCCTCCCCGTCAAGGGTTCCCATGTACCCCTTGGATTCATGGCTCTCTCCCAACCCTGGTCTCCCCCTCCTGATGGTCGCTTTCACCTCAATGCACCCCAGAGCCCCAGCACTCCCGACCCATAGCAACACGTCAAGCTCCAGCCGCTCCAGCCTGCACCTCCTCTTCGCTAACAGCCTCACTTTCATCTGACGCCTCGGCAGCCTCGCTTCTCCCCCATCTAAGGAGTACTGTTGATATTACTGATCAGGATCAAAAAGGACGGCTGTCAGCCCCCGAATAAGCTCTTTGCATGCATTTGTTTGGATACCAAGGTGTCCCAGATCTGGATGAGGCAACTGAGGCTCGGGAAGGTTAAGCATCTTGCTCAATGTCACACAGCTAACAGGTGGACGGGATAGAAGACACGGCCCTCACGCCCAACCCTGGGCTGCTGTTGGCTCCCCCCACTGTGTCATAGAATCACTGTCTTCTTTCCTCTTTTCCACAGCGTTAGTCTGAGTCCTCATGGCCTCCCTCCTGTATCATTGGAGAAGCCTCTCCCGGGTCTCCCTGTGACAGCCTCTGGCCTCCACCTCCATCCTGAGAGCCCCTCAGCCAGGCTCTCCGCTGCCAGCCACTTCCCCCTCTGATAATTCCCTTCCATACATGGTATGTGAGGCCTCCTTGTTCTGCCCTCGGGAAGCCTGAATGTCCTACTCTTCTGCCTCATGCCCCACCCCCTTCCCCCACTCTGGCTCTGCTCAGTGCCCCATCCCTCAGCCTGAGACGAGAGCAGCTTTTGCTGACATTTTGCCCATGTTCCTGCAGCAGTCAGATCTAGGGGTGAGCACTGGCTCGCTCTCTGGCACTTCTCCCACTTCACAGATGGGCAAGCTGAGGCCCACACAGAGGAAGGTACAAGCCCAAGGTCACCCTTCTAGTAAGAGGCAAAGCCCACAAGAACTCCAGTCTTCTCACTCCCAGACTAAGGGAGGCCCAGATGTAGGCCAGGGTCTTCCCTATCAGTGGCATAATGTCCCCAGGGCTGTAGCTGTTCCGAATAGGTCCTGCCATGAAGCCACCAACTTACGCTTGGCTGCTATCACACCACAAACTCCTGTTGCCAGGTCAAACCCTTATTGGTGCTCAGCACACTACCAAGCATACAGCAGGTACTCAATAAGTACCTACGGACTGTGAGGTTAAGTGATGATTTCAAGATTAGGCCTGCTGGTTGGCCTTTCCCTGGGGGCGTGGGTGGGCGGTGCTGGTTACAGGCCCCAGGCATCCGTCCAGTTGCTCTGAGTACTGCTGGCGAGCACAGGGGCTCGCGCAGATGGCTCACCTGCTCTGATCGGACAACCCCCTTCATCTCACCCCCTGAGGCCGTCTCCCCTGGCTTTGACACAAACTGTTCGACGGGGCCAACGTGAAGGACGCCAAAGTCCTCATCAAAATGTACGCTCCCCTTGCCCTGGGAGGGATCCTGTCTGGGTGGGGTGACTTGGAAGCAGCCGCTTAGGGACAGCAGGCTGATCTGAAAGCTCCAGAGGGCGCCACCTGGAGTTCAAGGACAGCATTGCCAGAGAAGGACAGAATCCCAGCAGCTTTATCAGGAAAAAGACACCCCTTGGTGGGGTGGGGCAGGGGTGAGGCTGGGGGGGGGGGGGGGNGGGGGGGGGGGGGGGGGGGGGGGGGGGGGGGGGGGGGGGGGGGCACAGGAAAGGAAGGGAGGTGGAGGGAGAAGTAGGGAAAGAGAGAAAGAGAGACCTGGACAACACATGTCTGACAGATTTATTACTTATTTCCGACCTAAAAATCCAAATCTTTTTCCAGAAAATGCAGTATTGGTTAAGGAAGGTCATGGTGTGGTTTATCAACCCTCACTGAAATGCATCATGTGGAAAAAATGCAGTAGGGGAAAGTTATGCATGGGGGTGATTCTAGGGTCTGCGCTCAATCCAAGGGCAGAGGGGTTGAGTGCCTCCCCTTTGTGACTCCGGGTCTACCCGGCCTTGCCTGTGAGGCTAGCTGGCCAGACCACTACTGGGAACTGAAATCGTCCTGCCCTGCGGTGAGGGACAAGGCCCAGGGTCCTGGGCAGCCCCCAGCTCTGGCGCAGCCCCACTCTGTGCTCAGGTCTACAGTGACGATTTCTATCCGCGGGCATTTTAAATCTCCACCAACCCTCGGGCTGCAATGAAGCAACTTTACGGCTGCAGCTGTTTTCCCCGCCCAGTCGTTCATGAAGGCAGCATCCTGGCAGTGAGGGAAGGGGGGGCGCTAGGAGGATGTATCACCAGGGAGGGGTGAGGCAGGCTCTACCTCCCGAGCTGGTAATCATCCCGGTGGGACCCATATCCTGCGTCTTCTTAATGGGACAGGAGCCCTGGCTTTGGCTGCCAATTATTAAACAGACGTTCAGTGAGTTAGGGAAGTCACAGGCCTCTCCTCAGAAAGTGGAGGGACCTGGGAATGGCCTGCTTTGGGGTGGGGGCAGCACTGACAAGGTGACACATCAGCGACAGGCTGGCAGCAGCTTCTCTGAGAGCCACACAGCACAGGAGTTGCTGAGGCAGCTGCTGGTTGCTGACGGCATCTCTGCCTGCCTGACAAACGAGCTCAACAGAGCCCAGCACAGGCCCTGTGCCCTTCCCTCCTCTCTACTAGTGCCTGAAGTCACCATTCAGGAGAGCTGCCCCCACCTCATTCTGTGGGAAAGCGGAGAACTGAATGAGGCATACCCTTTCTGCTTGGTCTGCCAGGAAGCTCAAAGGTAAAGGTCTTAGACGAAGCAGGTAGCCCAGAACGCAGCACCATCACGGCCGTGGACTGCATGAATGGTGTCTCCTCCCACCCGGGTCCTTCAAGAGCCGAACTGGGAGGACACCTAAGTCCTTATGTTACAGGGACCTTCTGCCTCCTGTGACCCTGTTAGCTACTGGCCCTCAGACGTTTTGGTCATTCAGCTTCCGGGGCACAGTACCCATCCTCTCTGCCAGCTGCCTCTCCCCTTCTCCGTCCTCTGACTGCTTATGTTCCCAGGAGCCCCTCTGTGTACCTCCCCTACTCCAGCCTCACCTCCAACCCTGGACATCTGGGTCTCCACCTGGACGTTGCCCCCGGGGCGTCCCACGGGCACTCCCCATCCCTCAACCCGCTCCTCCAGTGGGGGAGTGCATCCGTCACCAGGTCCAGCCAGCTGGGCCTTCCCCAATCCGATCCCGCCTTGTTCCCAACACCCACTGCCCTGTTCAGCACTCCTGCACTCATGCTCTCCCTTTAAATCCACCCTCCACACTGCCACCACAGTCCCCGGACTGACCAGGGCATTCCCCTCAGAAAACCCCCTTCAGTGGCTCCCACGGGCCTCAAGAGAGTGACCACACTCCCTTGCCTGGACCCCAGGCCCTGGACGACCTCCCTCCTCAACCCCATTTGCTGCTCCCGCCTCCACCAGACTTGTCCCCTGGCTTGCCCCCAGCACACGCCGTGAGCTTCCCACCATCGTTCATGCTCTCGCCTCCTCCTCGATCGCCCTTCCTCTGCTCTACCACAATCTGCTTTCAACAACCAGCTCCCCGCCCCTTCCGAGACTGGGCTGTGTCCCTCTGTGGTGTGCTGCTCCCTGACAGGGGATGTGCAAATCATCAGGCTTGGCCCCTCAGTAAAGTGTGAGGTCCATGGGAACAGGGGCCGTGTCTTGGCCATGTCTGTGTCCCCAGCACTTGGCCTGGCACCAGGCCCAGAGTGGGCATCTAATGAGCACTGTCTGAACTGACCTGAACTAATGCTCATCCATTCGTCACTCCTAGAGATTCTTAAACCACCTCTGGCTTTATTTCACATTGCCCTATTGCCGGCGTGTGTTTAATTTAACCCACTTCCTCCCACTGTGCAAGAGGAAGAGCTGAAACAACAGAGAAAGCAGGCTTTTGGCAGGACACCAGCAAACGGGGCGTAGTTTTTAGGAAAGGTGCCCTCGGAACGGCTCGTGCACTAACCCTGCTGCCCCATGGGACCCCTTACCTTTCTCAGGGTCCTCTAGGCCCGAGCGGACGATCTCCACCGCTTTGTCTACTTCCTCGCTTTGGCAGACATTGAGCTGAACTGTTCTCAGTCGATCGCTCTTCAAGCTGTCCAGCTCCTTGACCCCATCATTTCCTTTGTCCTGGGGAGGAGAGAGGAGCTGCTTCAACAACTTCCTTCCCACTCTGCCTCCAGCATGAGGACCAGGGCCGAGGCCCTGCCAAAGCCCGGGCTTACTAATAACCTCAGGAAGTAGTCTCTGGACACCTACCGGGGCTGCTCAGCCAGCAGGTGGTTCTAGTCAACCCTAGTACTGATGACAAATCAAGTCAAACCCAATGTCCTAGCTCAAGCCCCCAGGGCCTCACTGGCAGGAGTCTTTCTCTAAGCAAAGCTTTCAGACTCAGTACCTGCCAGGGCCAGGCATGTGGGTATCAGACAGCGGGGAAGGTGGGGATTCGGGAATGAAGTGTGTGCGTCCCTCTCCACCTCTGACAGCCGCATGCCCGTGGTAATGCATGTAACCCAGAGTGGCCAGATGCTCAGATTTTAAGCCAATAATTAGGATTTCCTAATTTTTTTAGTTTGTTTATTTTGAGAGCGAGAGAGCGCAAGCAAGGGCATGTGCATGCATGGGGGAGGGGCAGAGAGAAAGGGAGAGAGGATCCCAAGCATGCTCCTCACTGTCAGTGCACAGCCTGACATGGGGCCCAATTCCACAGTCCCACGAACCATGAGCTCATGACCTAGGCCGACACTAAGAGTCAGATGCTTAACCGACTGAGCCACCCAGCTGCTCCGGATTTCCTAATATTTTAAGTGTTGACAACTTACATTAAAAAAAAAACAAAACTGTGTAGGCCAAAGCACATCCACAGGCCACATGTGACCAGTGGGCTGCCAGTTTGTCACCTCTGTCCTAAGCCAAGGGTCTGACACCACCAAGATGGTTAGAGGCCAGAGAGGGCTCTAATTTCAGTTCGGTCACTACCCAGGCTCAGGTGCTCCGGTGCATTCCTTAACAGGTGCCCAGTTTTTCCAGCTTAGAAATAAGGACATTGCCACCTGTCCTGATCTGCTCGGGTTAATGGAATGAGGACATCATCTTTATTAAAAACTTGTTAAGCTATAAAGCGCTATGCAAATCCAGGTATTATTAAACATGAGAAAGCAAACATTTCTTAGGCCTCCATCACTTTCTAGCCTTGTGCTAAGAATTGACTGGAGATGCAAAAATAAACAACTCAGCCCTCAAAGAGGCACACTGTATGGAAGGGAGCAGATGCATCAGCAAACAACATGGGCAGTACTTGCTGCATGACACCTTGCAGGAGGTGAGAGGCTGCACAGAAGGTGGGGTGAACAGGGAAGGCCTTTCAAGAGCAGTGACAGCTGAGGCCATGAACTAGAGGGGCCCTGGGAATGGGACATTTCAGGCAGAGGAAAGGCATCGGGAAATGGCTGCACATGCAGCTGGGGAGGTGGGCGGGGGTCTTCTTGGGGGCAGTGGTGAGCTGCTGGAGGGTGTGGATAAAAGCAGGCATCATCTACTGAGTGTTTACCGTGCTTCCCACTGTGCTAAGCCCTTGATGTGCATTTCTCATTAGCCCTCAAATCATGAGGCACGATGTATTACCATATTTCATCTATTCTATAATCCACATTTTCCCACCGTAGGGATGAGCTACAATGATGTGAAAGTCAAACACTGTCAGTTACAGTTTAATTGACAGTGACTTCCTCAGTGGCGCATGGAACGGCAACGCATCCTGTAAGCGGGCTCCAGGAGCTGCCAGCTGCGGACATGAGGGAGATACCCGTACTCCCAGCCAAGGGCTTGCCTCAGCTGCAGGCGGGACTGAAGCAAACAGCCCCGGCAAGGGCAAGGGTAGGAAGCCCAAGGAGGCCAGCATGTAAAAGTTCTCTACAAATTAGGCTGAGCCTCGTCACGTGGCCGGAAGCGGGAGGACTCTAACCCCAGGACCGGCCGGGCTGCATCACGCAGGTCAGGGGAGAGAATGGCGCAATGGGCCCAAAGGTGCTGGAGACTGTCACTCCGGAGACAGACTCGGGGAGAACAGACAGCGAGGGAGAGGCTCGTCCCACGCAGCCCACAAAACAGAGGCAGGGCCAGGAAGCCAAATTCAGCCCCAAACGAGGAGTGACTTGCACAGTGTACGGATGGTGTGGACTGCCCAGGAGGGGCGCACACAGCGAGGGTGGAGGTCACGGGGCGGAACGCGGTGCAGAGAAAACCCAGGCAGCAGACAGGAGGTCGGGCTGGTCCCCCCGCTAAGACCCCCTACACCCCGGAACAGTCAGCCTCTGCAGGGAGCCTCCCCTGAGAGACGAAACATGTGTGGCCCTCCCCAGACAACACAGCAGGGGTTCCATCTACAGGTAGAGCTTCTGCGGCCGTGCCCACACAGGGTCCACCGGCAGAGAACCCCCTGGGAGCCGCCATCTCCAGGTCCGGAGGTGGGCAGGGCTGGTGCCCAGACACCCCTCTCTTCCGCGGACAGCACACAGGCACCAGAAAACATGTATCTTGGGTTAATGCAGTCTTTGTACTGCACTTCCTCGAATGCCCCTCGGAGCAGAGCCCGAGTGGCCTGAGTGTGTCCACGGGGTGCCGATGCCTACTTCCACCAGGAAAGGCCCCCGCGCATCCTGTCTCCTTCCCGGACTTTAACCCTGCGGCCACCTTTCAGCAGCTCTGGGACCCCACACCAGGCCTCTCTCCGTGAGCCTCTAGCCAGCACTGAGCCAAGGTCTCTGAAGTCCCCAGGGGAGGCTCCTCACCCGTGTCAGGGGGCCCACGTGAACTCAGCCTGGCAGCAGAGCAGCTAAGAGCCTTCCCTCAGAGGAAACCGCAGGTGAACATCACTGCTCACAGCTTCAGGCTCCGCATTCGGGACCCCCGGAGAGAAACCCACCTCCGACCTGCACCTGACAGGTGTTCCCAGGGGTCCTCATCACCCTGAGGAGCCCCACACCCTGCTCCTGACAGCCACGTCAGCAGGGACACAGACCATCAGTTTGCCTCCTGCTGTTCGGAGGACAGTGTCCCGACCACTCTCAGCCCAATGGCTGCAGACCAGGGCCGCCGGTCCCCTTCCAGATCCACCTGTCCTAGTCCAGGGCCACACTGCCTGTGCTGCACCGCCTCCCTGGCTCCAGGGTTTCTGTCCTGTTGCTCAGGGGCAAGCGCTCAGTCCTGCGGTGCTGGTGCCTACGTACCTGCTTTACTGATAAACCCACTTCTTTCACTATCCCTTTATTTATTTATTTTTAACATTTATTTATTTTTGAGAGACAGAGAGAGAACGTGAGCAGGAGAGGAGCAGAGAGAGACACACACAGAATCTGAAGCAGGCTCCGGGCACTGAGCTGTCAGCACAGAGTCCAACACGGGACTTGAACTCACAAACCGTGAGATCATGACCTGATCCACAGTTGGACACTTAACCGACTGAGCCACCCAGGTGTCCCTTTCACTATCCCTTTAAATTTCATCTGTAAGCTCTCTTTTCTACCCCTGGGTGAAATCTCAGGCAATTCTTGTAGCTATTCCACACACTCTCAGATAATAGAGAGCCTGTTTGTGTGACTTAGGGCTCCCAGCCTGGCCTGAAGACTCAAACCCTCCGAACTTGTATTCAATTTAAAGCCTGCCCTGACCCAGGCCTGAGGGAGTGTGGGAAGCCCCTGGGATGTCAGGTACGGGTGAAGATAGTCTTTCTCCCTATTTTCTAGCGCCTCCGCACCTGTTCCTTAATCTCTGACCCTTCCAGGGTTGGATCCAGGGGCTGGCAAATTAGGCGGCAAGACTGTAGTCTTCGGAGGCTGGTACTCCTGGGCGTCTGCTGTCCATGCCCTGAGACAGCGGGTGCACGAGAGCTGGCCCTCCCTTCTTGGGGTAATTTGTGGGTTCTGCAGGGACCCCTCCCCTGGACACCTGCGGTGCTGCTGGCTCCTCCAGCCGGGCCTCTTCTCCCTCAGCCTGGGCGTCAGTGAGGCAGCCCTTTGGCTGGGGCCACCATAGGTGCTCCTAGGAGTCTCACTGGATGGGCACCCTTATGATGACTCGGGGGAGCCCTCCCCCTTGTCCACACCGGGTCCAGGGAAGAGTTTCTTTCCAGGCAGTAGGATGGCCCTTTCCTGGTTCAGCTTTCTTTACTCTGCTTCCAGATGAGCCACTCTGGCCTCATTATGGGCCTCTAGACCTGATAAATAATAAGATACCGTTCTATGGCCTCAGGCTCCAGGGCATAAATGGTAAGCTCTCCAGGTAGCTTTTAAGTTTGTTGTTGTTGTTTTTTTAATGTTTATTTTTGAAAGACCGTGAGCCAGGAAGGAGCCGAGAGAAGAGGAGACAGAGGATCCAAAGCAGGCTCTGTGCCCAATGCAGGGCGTGAACTCACGAACCGTGAGACCATGACCTGAGCCAAAGTTGGGCACTCAACTGACTGAGCCACCCAGGCGCCCCACTTCTATGTTTTTATTTTAATTCCAATTAGTTAACATCCAATGTTCTATTAGTTTCAAGTGATTCAAGTGATTAGTTTCAAGTGAATACAGTGATTCACCACTTGCATACATCACCTGCTGCTCGTCACACGTGCCCTCCTTGATCCCCATCACCTGTTTCCCCCATCCCCACCTCTGGTAGCCATCAGTTTGTTCTCCATGGTTGAGAGTCTGTGTCTCCAAGCAGTTTTCTTGGAGTCCACCTCATTTTACTTGAGACCAGAAGGAAAATATCGCAGCACATTAACAACTCTGTCCAACCTCTCAACCTCTTCCACCTCCACGTACCACCAGACTGAGGCAGGTGATGGAATAATCCTGGCAGAAAGGTTTCACAGACCCCCGGCATGTCCTGGTAGGTGATCTAGCAGCTCAAGGCAGGAGTGAGGACACTCAGCATGTTAAATGGAAGCTTCTAACACATGTATTAGAAACACTGAAGAGGAGCAAGTCTGGGGCATTGTAGCAACCACAGGATGAGTAGCAAGAGCAGCTAGCAAGGGAAAGGGAAGAAAAACCAAGAGAGCAGGTGTCCATAAGGCAAGAAACAACGTGTAACAGACAAGAGTGGTTGGTTGGGTCAAAGTTGCTGATGGGTTGAGTATGAGAAGA